AAAATGTTGACATGTAGTTTTTGTGCAACAAAACTGTGTTATACAGCCTAGAGGTGAAAATTAAAATTTACATTTTGCTAAAAGTTCAGTTAATAATTAATCCTTTCAGAGAAAAGGAATTTCTGCTTATGTGTTGGCAATGCATTTATTCTCTTGGTCACTGGGGAAATCATTAAAGAACAGAAGGTATGAATTTCTAATTATTACATATAAAATCCCAATTATCTTTAGAATTTGTCTATATGTTAGATTTTGCTGTGATAACTCACAAAATATTTTATAGTATTTAACCTAAAGGATCAAGCTAATTACATTGTAGTAAATTGTATTTTATTTTGGCTTTAAAAATGTATATATAAATTATTTTGTAACTCTAAAGTACATTTGAATATTAATTATTTGTATTTTGAATAAACAAACATCTGGTTTCATTATTCTTACATTGTTTTTCTTCCTTTTAAAAACTGTAGGCATAATTTTAACAGATTATTTTAAAATGATAAAATAGTTTTAAGCTATTAATAGGCTATGGAATATACTTTGTAAGGTTTCATGTTTTTGTCCTTTGAAAAGTCCAGAAATTAACAGTAAATATGGTAACAAAATTGAGGCAATTAAAGTTTTCTGTTATGCTGGGGGCAATGACCTATGCCTATAATCCCAGCACTCGAGAGGCTGAGACAAGACAATCATAGTGAATTTGAAGGCAGCCTGAATTATCTAAATCAAGGTCAGTCTGAATTACATAATAGAAGACCCAGTCACAAACACACATTTCTTGTTGTTATATCCCTAATGAACCAAAAGGAGCACACTTAGTGTACAGAGGGTACGTGTTTATAGTTTATACTCTGGGCATAGTATAAATTAATTATAATTTTGAGGAAAATTATATTAGCTTCCAATTAACACCTATGTTCTGTGTATTTTTCAGTAAAAGGTTAAATGGAATATATTCTTACATTTTTAGAATACTCATTATGCAGTTCATTTTAGTTTTCATCTTTAGACTATATAACACAGTTTTGTTGCACAAAAGCTACAGGTGTCAACATTGTAATATGTATTATTTATCAAAAGTCTGTCAGCAGATATCTGCTAGCAGATATAATATTTGACTATGCCCTACGTCTAGTGGGAGATTAAAGGACGCAAAAATACTAACATTAAAGCACAAAAGGAAAGAATTTTGTGACTATCTATGACTGAATCTCTCTTTCCCTATATACATAGGTGATGAGGTATTCTACAGAGCTAGGGAAAGGTAAATCTTATAGGTCAGGGAGACTGGATTAATACTGTAGGAGTAATAATAATGTTTCCATTAGTACAGTGTGACAGCACACAAATAACCAAGCCCCGGCGTGGTAAGAAGGATCATCATATGGTTCTTTGGATATCACTATGATTTAGAGTATAGGTAGGTAAGAACACTACGGTTTTGACAAAGAATTAGTTTATATTTTATGTTACTGTCTCATTGATTTTTAGACACTTAGAAATGAAGCAGACTCAAAAATTAGTGATAGGTGAAGAAAACTGAATTTTAAACTACTTCATTTTGTTTATTCCAAAAAATTTGAATCAGACTCAAATGAGAAGATTTAGTGTTTTCTCTTCAACTTACATCTCATCTTTTTGTGCTTATACCAAAAATTCAGTTAATTAATTGGAATAATACAGTTGACATTACAAAAGTGCAGGAAAAACTTGAATAACAAAAGCTATGAAAACCCAAGCACAAGCTAGTAGAGTGTGAATGGAAAAAGTCTGATGATGCCTGAAATGGGGATTCATATCATCATATTCCTAAATTTATAGTAAACCTGCCTATATCCTAGCATAACATTATTCATTGAAATTTTCTTCTAGATCTATATCTCATACTTTAAAAATGCAATTTAAAGCTAACCAGATTGAAAAATGATCCTTTAAATGATTTTTCCTTAGGCTGTAAATTGACTTAGGAAGCATTCTATATACCCAAACTTCAGGTATATGCTAATACAACTTTCAAATTCTTCTTAGTCATTTTGTCTTTTCAACTTCCTAACAAAAGTTGTTTTCATGATACTCACAAATCAATAAACCAGAACATAATTTCACCTCTTCTGCTGCTATTTTCAGGTGGTTCAGGGGTTCTTATTTTGTACCTGCGCTTACTAGTTATCAGGTTTTTGGTCAAGCAACTGAAGTTTCTAAATGGAAGCTTGACCTTATTGGAAATAAAGGAGATAATGAATGCAAACTATTCATCATGAGTCTTGCACATTTTACTAGTCAAACTCCTCATTAACTAAATCCTCCAGTGTCTTTTCAGTAACTTCAGGATATGCACTCGTACCTCAACATGGCAAAAAGAGCATCATAAATGTGGTCCCTGAGTATCTCTCCACCTTTGCCTGCGACCACTTTACCTTTCATGCCTCCTCACTGCAGCCATACCAAATTGCCCACGCTTTAGAATTTTTTTATGCGTCTTGGGCCATAGCGTCTTTGCTGTTCCCTCGTTATTCTGGATTTCTCATTCTCCAGAAGCCTTACATAAGCCATTGGTGATGAATTTGGGCCCCTTCTCTTTATTCTCTTTTATATATCTTTATGATGGTATATGTCAACAACCTACTATTGTAAATAATCATCATTTTCTTTCCACAAATCTAGGTTGTAAATTACATGAAAATGAAATCTAAAGCCCTTATTACTTGTAATATTTGGGCCTCATAAAGACTATGGTACATTTTAAGTGACCTATAGATTTTTGTTGACTGAATAAATATTGTACTGAGTCATTAGTCAGTATGGATGTTTCAGCCAAGGAGGGAGGCCTGCTTCTAAATAACACCTGAGAGAATTCTTGTCCTCAAATTATGACATTTATTTATTTTTGGTATTGGGGATTGAACTCACAATCTCGCATTTGCCAAGCAGGCACTTAGGCCACTGAGCTAAATCCCTGACCCAAAATTATGACTTTTAAATGTGTCAACAGTTATGGTTGAAATCAAATTAGATTTTTAATATTGCAAACAGAATTTATTTTTATTAAATTAGATTTCCTTCCATAAAGGAAATGACCCAAATGACCTATTTAGATTTACTGCAATGAGTTTATCTGGGGGTACATTTCTAACTTAATAATGCAATATTTTAAAAAGTCAGACTTTTAAAAGTGAGGTGTATTTCTCCATCCATGAAGCAGAGTAAGAAAACGAAGAACATGTTAACATTTTCAGGCTCTTCTATAAATTTCTGGTAACTAATAATATATTTTAAAATAAACAATTTAATCCTTAAACACAGCTTGCAAAATACTGATTTGTCTCTTATTCCAAGCTCTCTTTGGACCTTACTTTTCACTTAGGTTATGTTTTGGTATCTGGTTAGGGAAAACAATCAGCAGAGCATTGTAAGGAGACTCCCTTGGACAGTGTTATAAAGATTTTAGTGTGGATTTGATTTTTGTGATCATTACACTTTACTCCCAATAATTTAAATCCTCACTTGAGAGGTCATTAATTCTTAGCAAGATAGTAATGACTATACTGCTCTTAAATTTAATTCAGGTCACAAGCATTCATTTGAGTCATTAGTTTACTCTTTCCCTAAATTATGTTTCTTCTTACTTAAACAGGTCATGACTAATGCATTTTTTAAATTTGAGCTAGAAAAAAATTTTTTTTAGTACTTTTTTAGGATTTTTTTTTAAATTGAACTCAGGACCTTGTTCTTGCCAGGCAGTCACAGTACCACTGAGCTATGTCTCTGGACCACATGTTTTTTTAAAGATATAATTGTAATAAAGAAATATGTTTTGGTCAGTTTCTTCACCAGTGTAACGACAACAATAACAACAACAAAATTTTGTTACAGAATTTGTAATCTAAGAAGTGTCCTGGCTAGGAAAGAATAAATTGGAGAAAGTGTAGCCTATTTGATGGTCTTATGATTGGTACATTGTAATAACAGGACTGAGACAGGTGATCGAGTACTTAATATACTTGGTCATACAAGGAGATAGCTTTCACTTTCAAACTTCAGCTTAGAGTTCTAACCAGCTGTATGAATTCGAACAAATTGCTTAACTTTTTAGTTTTCTTATAAGGAAAATTAGGAAAATAATACATGTCTAGATGGATGCTGGAATCTGACTGGGACAATTCATATAAAATAGTTCAAAAAGTAGTGCAAATTATTTCAGGTATTTATTAAGTACTCAATAAATGCTAACGATTATTACCTATAAGAAATTATTACAATAAATTTGCATATCCTGAATTATTGCATCAGTGTTACATTTGAGTGATGAAAATTTATTGTTTCCATTCAGTTGTCAGAAAGGGTAACCTATCTTATCCTAACAAATGTAGCAGAAAAATGTATTATTAAGAACCAAAAACAATTCAAAGGCAGAACTGGACTTGGAATGGGTAAGAAATTTTAAAAACTGTGTTACCTGATATTGGAACATCTCACTCTATTTGCTATTTTGGCTTTAAGTATGTTGAAGCTATAACATTAATGTTTCTAATTAAGCCTATATATCTATATTTAAACTTATAATGTGCATTTCGGTGGAGTGCGTCTTGACCATTGTTTTTATTGATCTGAGACAAGTCCAAACTACACAATTTAGAACTAATTGCTGAAATTATTTGTTCATGGCTTTACTCTTTCCCAAATTAAATTAGAATTATATTGTGATTCCTAGAGTCATGATCAAAATTATCCATTGAGATTATCTGTGAAATAGTGTGAGTGATGAGTTATGCATAAAGGGACATATTTGGGCCATGGTGTGATTGTGGTAGGGAATTTATTTTGGAAAAACATTTAATGATAGCACGAAAACATTAACTGAAATGATTGCATAAGTATTTAATGAGCTGAATGCCATTTGGAAAAGCTATTAGAAATTTGGAAAACCTGGCTTAAAATATCAGGTCAAATTGGAATAGTTCTAAGTTATATCTTACTTTATATTCTGGTGTAAAACTTACTTTCATCTCCTGTTTCAAATTCAAACTTCTGACTGTAGCCACTGTATCCTGTTGCGGTCCTCACTCGGATGTGAAATATGTACGTGGTGGCTGGCTTGAGACCCGTGATGATGACACTAGGGGCCTTGGACCTTGTGGAGGAATAGGTGAGCTGCTCATGCTCCTGGGGGACAGAAAAGAGGAGAAAGGAAATGAAGCCAACTATGTAATCCTACCTTTTCCGAGAGACATTCCAAAGTTAAACTGAGGAATTATGCTCTGAATATCAAAGCTATTCATTGAAAAGAAGTATAAGTATGTCTTTACATAGTTTAGCATTTAATTGTTTATCATTGCAATCTATATGATATGATCCTGGTTTAGAAATTTGTTAGAGAAGATGATTATTCTTATGTAAACTACACTTCTATTCTTGGAGATTTGTATGGTGTGATCAAAAATTTGGTGAACACTTAAAATTATTATAGTAAAAGACACACTGCCATTAATCCTTCTCAAAATACTCCCTCTCATTTGCCTGTCCTTGCAGTTCTGGAAGTCTTTTTTTTTTGTGTGTCATCAATTACATTATTATGGCTGCCTGCGTGTCCTGTATCAATTCCAAAATTTGCTATTTGTGGTCATTGTGATTTCTGGGAGAAGTGCAAGTCCTATGGTGCCAGATCTGGTGGATGAAGACACAATTTAATGATCTTACGGCCTACCCTCTTGGGGAGCAGCTGGCAGCAGCATTTACTGTATTATTTAAGCATAGTTTCTATAAATAGTCATGAAAAAGAACTTCCAGAAATGCTTCAGAAAGTGGCAAAACTATAGGATAAGTGTGTTCAAAGTGCGACGGAGTGTTTAAAGGGAATTCATGGCAATGTGTCCTTTACTGAATAAAAAGCCTTAAGAATTTGAACATTTGTTATATATTCTAATCACACCTCATAGATTTCTGTCCAACTCTAGGGAATAGTGGCGGCATGAGGGCACACTGACACAGAATGGCAGCTACATCTTGAGCAAAATGGGCACAGTGGGTCAGACCACACCAGCAGAGTGCAGGGAGCAAAGTCGGGAGAATCAAGTACCCGCTACTCACTTCTACCCGCAGGTAGTGCCAAAATGCCGGCGCTATCCGTGGGTAGTCCTGTGGGTGAAAGAAAAAATAAATTAATTGCTTTAAAGTTTGAAATCTTTTATCCTGAAATGAAGTACGTTGATCTTGACGTGAGTGGTTCCCCCAGTAGGAATAACAAAGTTGAGTCCATTTTTAGAAATAAAATGATGTAAGTTTTTCCTTGATGGAGAACTGACTCCTCTCTAGATAGCATAGCTGTTTTTTTTTTTTTACAAGTTACATAGTGATTGTAAGATAGATTTTGATATAATATGCCCAAGAAAGCACTGAAGACCCTGGACGGCATGAGAGACGTGCTGCACCTACAAAATGAGATGTAGGCCTGAGCTTTAGTTCCTGGACTCCTAACAATATATTGATTGCCAGACCACTTCCTTTCACTAAGGTAAGCAGATCTGGGATCTGCCAGGTATTCTGAGGGATCTAGTAAGCTGGGGTCATTCATGTGGGCTTGACATCCACCTTAGAACAGAATAACTCAGTATTCCATACTGAAAAAGAAGAAAATGCTGATGGTGGGAATAAATTAAATTTAATGCAGATTTTATAATATCATATTATCATCAATTTCTTTATATGGGTATCTGAAAAAAATTATGGGGCTCGAGAATGTCCAATATGGAAATTTGCAATTTGAGATGTGCTCAAAATAAGACTTTTTCAGTGCCAACATAATGTCACATGTGGAAAATTTCACAATGTCTCACATGATTTGTCAATCAGAACTGTGGTACACGAAAAATATTTTATGAAATCACCTTCAGCCTATGTGCATAAGGTGCATGTGAAACTTCAATGCATTTTGTGTTTAGGCTTGGATCATATTCCCAAAGTACCTCATATATATCTGCAAATATTTCATACTCCTAAAGAATTCTAAAACTGGAAAAAATTTCTGATCCCAAGGATTTCGCCCAAGAGATAGTAATTCTATATTTTTATGAAAAGCCCTTCTAGATTCACAGGTCCTTAATCTAATTTCTATTGTTACCTTCATAAATTGAATGATAAAAATTTTCAGGAATAGAGATAACTTTCAAACTCACTAATCAAATCATTCATTTGATGCTTAAATTATATTTAATATTCACATCAAGATTTCAGGAGACATCAGAAGGGGGAAGGAGATTTAAAAATTATACACACACACACACACACACACACACACATACACACACACAGCAAATAACTATCCACCTAGCATAAAATTTAAGGAAATAAAGTTTATCCGTCATTGATGGCTATAATCATTCTATAAGAGTTGAAAGTAGGAAATCACTAATATAAAAGCCTTATAATTGAGGAAGTTACATGGTCATGTTATGGGTGAGTTGTTTATAGAAAACTAGAATATGCTATAATTTTCTAGTAGAAATTTACAAATACGGAGTTTTCAGTCTCATATATAAGAAAAGACCATTCCATCTTTCAAAGACTTTTCTTAGCATAAGAATTATGCTGTATTTTGAGTGCTGTTTTCAATATGAAATGAGAGAGGAATTGTTAAATAATGAAAAAAGAACTAAGTAGTATCCCCAGAGAATAAAGTATAGATTCAAGTGTTTATTCTTAAAATGGCACCATAATAATGAATAATTACAGTGTTTTTTGTTTTACTAAAACATAGCTAAAAAGTCTTTTAAAAGAAAATGCAGAGGAAATAAAGAACACTTAATAGGAAGACTTTCACTTTTTCTGCTCTTATATGCACAACTGTCTTCACAGCTACATCCCTGGAATAAAAATCCTCAAGCAGTATGCTTGTTTAAATGGTTCCTCAGCCCGACTCACTCAACAACATGACAGCTGCTGCCAGGTCATACATCTTGCTACTAGCTAGCCTGTCATGGAAGAAGGCTCAGAAAGAAATAGTCTGGAGTTCCTTGCACAGTACGATAGCAGCACCTGGTCCTCCTAATATTTTTAAGTTCTTGGAAAACCAAGTACGCTTTTATCCACACAAGTATAGGACACTATTATCCCAGAACTTTAACTAATTGCCTTTCCGCTGACACATCAACTCCAACTCAAAGTACCTGTCAGTAGGTAGAGACCACTCTTCACACAGAGTTTTCTAGACCTTTTCATTCACCCTGGCAGACTGAATTCTGAATATATTTGAACAGAGTATGTGCACATGTTTTTTTGGAGTTTGTATCATGAGTTTGCATTATAATGGAACATCTATTTGTATGATACAGGTTTTAATCAAATTTCCCCATCACTGGGATGAGATACATGACACTTGAAACTTAAAGGAGAGTTTATGGGCTCATGGTTTGCAGTAAAATAAGTCTCACATTGACTGGCTTCAAAGCAGAAATAGCATAGTAGAAGGGACTGCTAATGAACAGCTCCTCACCCTATGCCACTAGGAAGCCAGAAACAAGAAAGAGACAAGGACATACCTTTCCAGAACACATCTGTTCAGACCACACCCTAGGGCCTGACTCACCTTCCGCAGCCCTTACCTTCTATCAACACATGCGGTCACTGAACTTATCAATTGATGAGTTCACTGATGTGTATAGGATTCCCAAGGCCCAATCACCTTCCAAACACATGAGACCTTTGGGGAACATTTTAGATCTAAAAAACACTCTTTCAACACTGGTCCCCAATAATACTCCTGTTCATCTTATTATGCAGAATGTACTTAGTCCAGTTTTAAGAGTCACCAATCTTAACAGTTCCAGCATGTCTGAAAACTCTATATCCAAAATCTCCTCTGAGACTCAAGCCAATTTCTGACTACATTTGTGGAAAAGTATCATTTAACATAATATGGCCACAATTTACTACAGTCAACTCTTGATTATCCCACATAATCCAAAATAGGAGATAACAAAAATCACTTTGAATATAGGATGATTTTTGATATATATTTCATCCAATGCATGTCTTGTTTCACCAAAAATTAAAATTAAGTGAATTCTCTAAAGATTAAATGTTGAACAATAGAAGGTGATGGCATTCCTGATGATCAAGGAATATTGATATGAAATTAAACACACATAACTGATTTTCAAGAAACAAACAACCTGGAAATAATTAAATTTGTAAAACAGTAATTATATTTATTGCCAGGTAATGACAAGATTAGTAAAAGTGATCTTTAATGTGTTGCTATGTGAGTACCAACAGGTGAGATCTGTAGATTCCTATTTGGAGTCAGTGTCAGTTATGAAAATTGAGATGGCGAGATTTGTTTCAGATGGTCAGATGAAGTAAAATAATGTGTAGAATTTTTTCACAGGCACCAGAACTCTTGTAATATAACATTATTACTTGATTTTAGGAGCAATTATCAATAGGATAGTACATTTAATCCAGCAACAATAGGTTTATGCTTTAAAGTAACATTACAGTTTCTATGGAGGACCTTTAAAATTTTTGTAGGTATTTCACTTCTCTTTATTCTTTATATTCACATTGCTAAGACAGTACGTCTATACCTACTATCATATTACAGGCTCTTATGATACATTATTCAAATGATTGCATGAAGAAATTAGTAAATTGATTGCTCTGTATACTGAGGTTTTAAATTCTTAAATATTATTATAACAATTTCATAATTAGTTCATATAAATTAATGATCATTAAAATGAGAAATGAAAAATGTGGTTATCTGTTATTATAATACTTTCATAATCCAGATGCAATAATATTTTGCCATATATTCCATTTGTTTTCTTAAGAGTAGTATGGAAAACATCCAAGATTTTATTGGCCAAAAAGCATTTCACAAAACGTCATGCTTTAGAAACACCCTGAAATTTGTGCTAAAATATCTTTACTACATATTCTTAGTATTTATTCAGTTTTAGCTTCCCCATCTGTCTTCCTCTAACCTGCCTTCACATCGGCAGGATATTGGTGTTTCTTCTGTGCACTACCACTCCATACACACTTTTAAAGCTGTTCGAGTAAAAATGAAACATTGAACACTGAATAATTATCCGTAAAGAAACTTACTTCATTCTAGAATTCCTTAATATTTCCAAAAAGTATGTTATAGGCTAATAATAATTTTAATTTTGTCATTTTTAAGTTTTAGATAGTTTACGAGAATTTTTAAGTCATGTATAAATTCAGTGATAAGAATCTCTTATATAAATAAAGCAGGAAATACCAATTGCAGAGAACACATGAGCATAAAAAAGTTCATGTTTATCAAATTATTGGAGATAAAATTATTTTATTTAAAAGGGATAAAATTAAAAGTAAAATTATATTCAATATAATAATATTTGAGAAATGTAGTAAATTTAAACTAAATATTTTCAGAAAAATTTAGAAATTTCTACCGATTGTGGTAATTTATGACTGTAAAATATCTACATAAAAGCTAAGTTAAGGCAATTTTATTATAAAAATTAGCATTTGTTAGCAATAAAAGTCATTGAGAGGAAAAAAATCATTAAGTACCTATGAAAATATAAATGGACCTATGTTGATTCCTGCAAGTTAAATGGTATTGCAAATGTCAAATTGAACATTTTTGAAGTAAAATTACTATAGCAACATGGTCAAACAGAGTGGTTCTTTTATTAATTTTACAAAACTGTAGGATGTGAATTTCTAAAGCAGTATATCTAGAGGAAATAATATTTCTAAAGCAAATAAATTTTTCTTTTTTAAATTTATAATATGAATTAGATTATAGGATAAATAAGATAAAACACAGCAAAAAGATTCTTTTTTTTTTTTTAATCAGAACTTGAATTCATGACTTCACACTTGCCAGACAGGCACTGTACCTGAAAAGTTCTTTGAAAATTAATAGTGTAAATGCAGGTGAGCTGATTTCCAATTATGACTTAGTTGTTTTGTTTTCTGACAGATTCAAGTAAAATAATAAGCAAAGTAAAGTTAGTGTGATGTAACCAGAGTGGGGGAGAATGCCAGTACAATGAGAAAATATTTGGTAGAAAAACCTTAGCAACCAATAGTATTGTTTGTAAATACAGGTAAAGTCTTAAGCCTTCCAAATCAGCTATAAGAAA